TATCACACAGTAATGCATGCAGACGTTTTTGTGACAAACAGTGCAGTAGACACCCTTCCACCTTCTCCCCCTGCAAAGTTCATGATGGGAAATAGTGGAGGAACTACCTGGTCCAGAGAGAGGAAAACACCTATTACACCCTTTCTTTATCCTGATCTCACAATGGATCCTTGCATTGTTCCGGCAGTACATTGAGCAGGAAGAGCTGGGGCTATATATATTTTACCTTTGCTGATAAATTTCAGTCTTATAATTGTCCATCGGGAGGGTTCTTCCTTGGTGATTCCACGTTACTTTGCCAATTCAAATTTATCCCTCCTTAAAAATCTCATACTCAGCTACAGCTGTTAGAACAGGGAGCACGTTGATAATTGTGTAACATCTGGAAAGTGAGGCACCACTAAGGGCTCATCCATGCTTACTTTTTTGCCACTTTTCTAGGCACAGATCCGAGCTTTCCACGTCCAGGTCCAAGCAGGTGTGTGTGTGGTTTATCTTTCTTCTTCCCCTGGCATGCTTTCCCTGGGGAAAGCCATGTTTTACCACTGATCAGAGCAAGTTGCAACCGGGTTTTCCATGGATTGTCATTTGCTCCAATTCAGAAGCAGATTGTGGGTTTTCCTGGGGCAGACTGGGACATTCTTCTTAGCAGTTTAGGAATAGCCTGGGATCCCACATTCCGTTGTGACCACCTCCTGATGTTTTAAAACAAAGGAAACATAACTCCAAGATGGGAAACAATCCTCGTTTAACTCCAGTAGATCAGTTGCCCAGGGTCCAACTAGGATATGAAGGCAGTCATGTTTGTTTGTTTTATTCACATGTCTGCTCCATTTATGACTAATTATTTAGACATGGTTTCAGGCCAGAGTCAGTCTTGGTTGCTCTGAGGGGATGTTACCTATTGTGAGAGGGGCAAGCGGACTGTCATAGAATCATAGAATCATAGAGTTGGAAGAGACCACAAGGGCCATCGAGTCCAACCCCCTGCCAAGCAGGAAACACCACCAGAGCACTCCTGACATATGGTTGTCAAGCCTCTGCTTAAAGACCTCCAAAAAAGGAGACTCCACCACACTCCTTGGCAGCAAATTCCACTGTCGAACAGCTCTTACTGTGACCTTGCTTCTCCTGCTTGATCTCCCCATGGCTTTCTGTACCATTGACCATGGCATCCTTCTGATCTGTAGAATGGGCATTGGGAAAACTGACTTCAGTTTTCTGTTCCTACCTGGTTCGTAGCTTGCGGATGCTGCTGGATTCAACAGTGTCATTGGAGGCTCAGGTGGCCTCAGTGGCTCAGAGTGCCTTTTTCCAGCTCTGGCTGGTTTGCCAGCTACAATTTAGGTCCAAGGTACCCCAGGGATCACCTGAATCCTTATATCCCAGCTCAGTCACTGAGATCAGCATCTCTGGTTGTTCCCCAAGTTGATGAGGCTCATTTGGAAACAACAAGAAACCAAATCTTTAGTGATCAGCCCAGTCCTTTGCCAAAAGAGATTCAACAGGGTTCAGCCGTTTCAACTTTTGAACCCCTGCTGAAAACTTTTCTGTTCTGCCGGGCCTATGCAGGCATCCTTCCGCAATGGTCAATTGATGCCTGTTTTAAACTTTTTAATGGTGATGAATGGTCCATTTGGAGAAATCTACACTGATGTTATCCTTTGCAAATGACTGTATCAGAAAAATGCCATTTGTGAAGCATGCCTGAGTATCAGGAAAGCTGACAGTGTTTTTGGATTTAGTGCCTTCATGCTCAGTGACTCAAAGAGTCCCCTCTCCTGAGCGCAAGTGTGGAAACATTTGTGGCAAGGGACATGTCCTATTTTAAACCCCATCTATGGGAGGAGGGTGGGAAGTGGAGCAAGTGTTTGACAGTTGACAATGTCCATCACACTGTTTAGTGATGATGCCTGGGGGGTAAAAATAGAGAGAGTTACCTCATGGCTTTCAGCAGCAATGTCGAGGAGACAAAAGAGAGGCTTTAAAAGGCTAGTGGAGCCGCAGGCAAAGGGCCTGGGCTCTTTTAAGGTTTTGGTTCTGCTCCAGAAGGGAGCTGTTCCGCTTCTCCCTCTGTTTATGGAGAGCTGTGAGTTAAGGGTGTGTGACATGCCCTTCTCTCCGGGACTAGATGTTGCTTTCAAGAGCTTGGACCAACCATATGCAGGTACCAGTTTGTTTTGCATGCCAAACTTTTGCAAGCCTCCTCACAGACAGAGGCTCCACTTAGCAGAAGGGGCTTTGCTTTCAGATGGTTTGTACTGCTGTGGAAGGAAGCTGTAGATGAAAGGTAGCTGAATTTTTGGACAGTAGGAAGTGGAATGAGGAGAACCAGCTGGAAGGGGCTTTAAACCTCCTGTCAGTTGTGCAGTGACTACTTGCCTGATGCGATCATTAAATTATAATGGCCGTAAAGAAGGTAAAACAGTGCCGATGAAAAGAATTGGTGGTTGATTCAGGACAAGGAAAATGAGGCATGCCTTCAAAAAAGATGCACAGTGAATTTATGGAATTTGCTCCCACAAAATCTAGGGGTGACCCCTTGGGAGGCTTGCTCTGGAGGGTGACTAGAGAGGGTGACTCATGGGAGAAAGAGAACTCATTGGCTATTAGTCATGATGGCTACTGGGATCTCCACATGCAGAGGTGAGGAGGGCAGACAATGCTTCCTCCATCCCTGAGCTTCTTGGAAACAGCTACCTTTGGAAAAAGGATGCTGAACTAGATGGAACCTTGGTCTGATCTTACATGATTATTAAACGCAGAAGATTTCAGGTTTATTGGAATTTCAGCTATTGTTTCCATTGTACTTTGTACATTCCGTGATTTTTTTATGAGGTGTATAGAGCCCTGTCGGTATCTTCAGCACCTTCTGTTCCCACAGATTTGTCTGTCACTCGTCTTGACCTTCAGTGTGCCCAGCAGTGGAATGGATAACATTCCAGAACAGCCCGTATCTCAGTGGTTGTGCCTCTAGAATGGATGGAGCAGCAAAGGGAGGAGAAGGAGGGAAAAAATGAGAGGAGGCTGAAGCAGGAAGTGCTGCCTTTTCTCTTAGGGCATTTTAAACATGACATTAAAAATGTGTTTCAGACTCCTTCCTATTTGTTTTTTAAATGTCTCCTATGAATACTGTTCATGCATGATGAGGGAGAGACAAGAAACGGAATGTACACTCTTGACTACACTGGAGTTAATTTTCATTAAGAATCGTTTTACAGTCAGTTTAAGTCTCGCACGTGAAAATGTTTCACCATGGTTATCTTGGACCATTGATTAAACGTCAAGAAAAATCCATCGGAAAAATGTTTTTCCCCGTTTTTATTTTAAATGTTTTCCATCAAGTTACCCCCTCAGATTCCAGAAACTCTTCAGCAGAGCAATGGAGATGGATGATAGCCTTGACTGCAATTGACAAGGCATCATTTTCTTCTTTAAGGTGATGAAATGTGTTTGGAATCGTGTATCCGCTCGTGGCTCCCATCATGTGCTCTCTCCTTGCAGCACGCCCTTGGCTTGTTGTCTACTGACCTCTCTCCCCCCCGCCCCACTCATCCCCACTTAAATTCTCTCTGTTACAAACACACATACAGTGGTGCCTCGCAAGACGAATTAATTCGTTCCGCGAGTTTTGTCGTCTTGCGATTTTTTTCGTCTTGCGAAGCACAGTGTCGGGAAAGTTTTGGAAAAGCTTCAAAAATCACCAAAGTCTTTAAAAACCTAAAAAAAGGCTACCACACCGCGTGCTATGAGTTGCTCCTCGAAGTCAAGTCGCAACTGTATTAACGGTGTTAAGAAAAGGAAATAAACTTGCAAGACGTTTCCGTCTTGCGAAGCAAGCCATAGGGAAATTCGTCTTGCGAAGCAGCTCAAAAAACAAAAAACCCTTTCGTCTAGCGAGTTTTTTGTCTTGCGAGGCATTCGTCTTGCGAGGTACCACTGTACTATGCTTGTCTGTGCTGGAGTAGAGCACACTTGTGCTCGAGCAGCACATGCAACAAAACGAGGTGGCAGAAAATACCGTTTCAGATATCTGCAAATGGAAGATCATATTTTTACATGCTGCTTTACATTTATTTATTTATTTGAATTTATATACTGCTTGATTGTAGGGGGAAAGACTCAAAGTGGTTTACATTCTAATAGAAAACTAGCGCAGCGCAGGAAGGGGGCTACTCGAGCAAGAATCATAGAATTGTAGAATCGAAAGGACCTTTCACTTTGGTCTGCCAGGGGAGGAGGTGCTTCCTCTTCCTGGAAGCTATTTGTGGGGGATCATCTCAAAAGTCGCCCACCTGGAGCCTGACATGGTCCACCCTACTCAACTCTGCATGTGTAGACCCAGCCTCAGTCCTATGAAACCTGTCTTGGGCTACCACAGGCAGTGGGAAATTGTTACCTTGATTTTTGTCCAAACCTCAGATCCAAACTGGAAGAGCCAATGTCAGAAGTTTTTTATTTCATCTATCCAGCCAGCTCTGATATCCCCACATTAGCTGAATGCCTGGCACAATACTGGTAATAGTTAGCAGGAGGGGCAAGAATATTCCTCATGTTGATAGTCTTAAGAACATAAGAAGAGGTTGCTGAATCAGGCCAGTGGGCCATCTAGGTCTGCATCCATCCTGCTCTCACAGTGGCCAGCTAGATGCCTGTGAGAAGTCCGCAAGCAGGTCCTGAGTGTAAGAGCACTTTCCCCTCCTGCAGTTTCCAGCAACTGGTATTCAAAAGGATATGGTCTCTGGCTGCGGAGGCAAAGCATAACCATCATGGTAGTAGCTGTTGATAACCTTCTCTACAAATTTGTCTAATCCTCTTCTAAAGCCACCCAGGTTGGTAGACACCACTGCCTCCCGTGGGAGAGGGTTCCATAGTTCACTACACACAGTGTGAATAAGTACTGTATTTTACACATATGAACATAAGGCAGGCTTGGCTTTCCAGCCAGATTCCCCGCAGTATCCTGACTGTGCCTCTCTTTTTGTCACTGTTCCTTGCAGAGCTTCATCGCAGTGAGAGTATGCAGGAAAAGAATGTGAAAGAAGCCAAAACCAAATGCCGAACCATTGCATCCCTGCTGACAGATGCACCCAACCCCCATTCCAAGGGTGTCCTGATGTTCAAAAAGCGCCGCCAGAGGGCAAAGAAGTACACCCTGGTCAGCTTCGGAAGCGTTGATGAAGACCGCTGCTATGACGAAGAGGACGGCGTCTTCCCAACCAGCGAATCCGAGTTTGACGAGGAAGGCTTCTCTGACGCTCGGAGCCTAACAAACCACTCGGACTGGGACAATACTTACCTTGACATTGAGAAGCCCAAGGAGCCTCCTGCCCACGAGCAGGACCAGGCTCAACAAGGCCTCAGTGGAGTATCAGGCAGGGGGGCGCAGTTGTTTGAGCAGCAGAGGCAAAAGGCTGGTGAACATACTGTGGAGAGAGTCCCTACTCATGAGCCAGAAAAACAGCCCCCACCTCCACCTGTCCTTCAAGCACATAACATGTTACACAATGAAGCCCCCACTCCACAGAAGGCAGAAAGGGCCCCTCTGAGTGTCCACTTAGAAGCTGTACAGGTCTCTAGCCAGCTGCCGTCACCCAGCCCTGCTCAGCTCCAGTCTCCATCAGGCATCTTCGGAGGAGGAGGCGAGGGCTCCCCGAACTCGCCAAGTGCCACCAGCATCTTCAACAGATCCGCCCGACCTTTCACTCCAGGTTTTCCCGGGCAACGTCCTATGACTTCCTCTGTCGTGTTCAGACCATCTGCGCCAAGGAAAAGCAGTGAGAGTTTGGGTGGACAGAGAACAGCGGCGCCTCCTTTCTCCCCTGTCACTCCAGGGACCACTCAGCTTCCTGCCGCTCCCATGGCAGTGCAGCCTAGTGGGCCAGCAAGTGCCTCTGTGTCTCTGTATATCCCAACCCCTCCATCGTTGGTGCAGCTCTCAGGGGCTGGAAATTCTGCGGAGGCCAAGCCACCTTCCAACACAGCCCGAACCTCCACAGCTTCCATATACCTATCGGCACCTTCTAAGCCAGCTGCAGAGGCTGTCGCTGCTACACCCCCGCCATTGCTGCCTTCCCAAGGCCAAGAGACGGCTTCTTCGGCTTTGTACATCAGCCCAGTCCAACAGCAGCCCCTCTCCCAGCCCTTCACTGCTGTAGCGCCACCCATCTCACGGCCTGCTTCTGAGCCCTTTGCCTCCAGGGAACAGAGAGTTGCAGTTCCGGCTCCTAGAACGGGTATCTTGCAGGAAGCTCGCCGGCGGAGCAGCAAGAAGCCCATGTTCAAGACTGCGGAGGAGAAGAAGAAGAATTCCCCCAACCCCGAGTTGCTGTCTCTAGTGCAGAACCTGGACGAAAAGCCCAAAGGAGACCACCACGGGGCAGGCTTTGAGTCTGGGCCCGAGGAGGACTTCCTCAGCCTGGGGGCCGAAGCCTGCAACTTCATGCAAGCCTCAGGCCGGAAATTCAAGACCCCGCCCCCAGTTGCTCCTAAGCCCCAGCAGTCAAAGGCCTCTGGCGGACTGGTGAACGGCTCTTCTTCTGCCAACGACATATCCCATTTGAAGGGGAAAGGGGCAGAGCTCTTTGCCAAGCGACAGAGCCGCATGGACAAGTTTGTCGTGGAGTCTGCTCTCACACCGGCCCCAAAGGCCAGAACCCCATCCCCGACCCCTTCCCTGCCTTCCTCCTGGAAGTACTCCCCCAACATCCGCGCCCCACCCCCCATCGGTTACAACCCACTGCTCTCTCCGTTTTATCCCCTGGCAGCCAGCAGGTCGCAGGCCAGCAAGGCAGAGAGCAAAGTGAAAAAGGGGCCCAGCCAGAAATCAGGGATCAAGGCCATCGACTTCATGCGGCACCAGCCGTACCAGCTGAAGTCCGCCATGTTCTGCTTTGGGGATGTGCCAGGCTCTGACGTCCAGGCCTCCTCCGCAAGCCAGGCAGCCCAGCAGTCCAGCCTGTCTTTCACCCCGGCCAAGCAAATGCCCGTGAAAACAGCCCGGACCTATGAGATCCGCCGCTTCTCCACACCTGCTCCAGCGCCGGCTTCCAGCAGCCTGGCCCCTACAGTGCTGGCCCCCCGCTCTGCCACCACGTTGGATGAGCCTGTGTGGAGGACAGAAATGACCTCCATCTCTGCCCCCGCTTCCCCGGGGCCCTTCCAGGTGGCTCCCCCACAGTATCTAAGCTCCCCTGACCTCAGCCAGCCAGGCAGGGGGCCTTCCCCAAGCCGACCCTCCTCATCCTCCAGTTTCCAGGTAGCGAGACCCAGGTTCTCAGCTGTGCAAACTGGGATGCAGGCACACATCTGGAGACCAGGTTCTGGTCACCAGTGAAAGAGAAATAGCGCTTCCCCATCCCCATCAGTGGGCTTCTTCACACGTTGTGGTTTTTTAGGTGTACACCTAAGGGTTGGGGGGACGTACATCTTCAGATTTAAAGTGTAAATGCAGCAGTTTATCCTAAAAGTGCACCCACCAGAGAGCTACGATTGGCTGCAGCTCACTGCTGAGTTCCCACTTTGTGGCAAACCCAGGTTTGCTGCCGTGTAGTAATGTGTTGAGATGGCCCCCACACACAAGGCAGGCGTTTGAACAGAATAGTTACCTTCCGCTCCTCCCCTCCCTTTTCTGTTTAAGTTGAGTTCCTGTAAATTAGGACAATGAAGCCAAATGGGAGGCAAGCAGCCTCCTTTTCCGAATCACTGAACTATCCACTTTTTGGACTTGCGACGTTTCCAAGGGATTTAACTGTGTGCGGCCGGAGCAGGAGAAAAGTAGCAACGATAGAAGGGTTTGCCATTCACGTAGCAGCAAGATTCGTAACCGCCCTAGGAAAAGCAGTGCTGTGCAGCTGTAAGCAAGTGCATTTTTATCTCTGAGAACAGCTCCTCGCCTCATCATCCGGAAGCCCCGTGTAGCGTGAGCGTGGTGGTAAGGTGGAAAAGAAGCAGTCGCAGAGGCATGGATGGACCCTCCTAATTGTCTCTCAACATCTGCCTGCTAAAGCCCACAAATTCAAAGTTTTCATCACTCTCTTCCAAACAGGATTGTCTTGGAAGCTTGTTGTGAGTTCCTTGGGGAGGCAGCCAGTGATGTATTGCAAGTTTCCGCTCATGCTAGGTGTAAGATACCCAGTCTTTGCCCTGCCTTAACTGAGAGCAATGCTGTAGCACAGCCAAAGTTTTCCAAGGAAATGCAAATTGTTGTTATTATTTCTTAAATTTGTATACGGCCATTCATCTGAAGATCCCAAGGTGGTTCACAACAGAAAATCACTTTCTCTTTTGCATTTACAGGAAAGGCTTGGCAGGCATTTCCTCAGTATCCCTGTGTTATGTCTCTGTCTCCACATTAGCATTACGAAGCAAATATGGCGACTGCCAGGTATGGCATTTGCCTTGTAACATGCCGTTCTCTCTTGAAATGCCCCAAGACCATGCCCCAGAATCCTCTGCTTCTTCAACAGATAAGTCGGATAGAAAGTTTGAAAGCAACTGGTTGAAACAGATGTGTGTGCCATTTGCTACATAATTAAATGAGACAGGAGACATAAATTCCTCAAAGTTTCCTGGTCCTCCTCTGAACAGCTGAACGAGAGGCTGTGCAGGACTACAAGGGCTGAAGAGCAGCGTGAGATGAGAATTCGAGGTAGAAGAGGCACAGAGGCAGCAAGGCAGTCAAATGACTACTTCTTTATGGCAGTAGTGGGGTGAAGGTGTGTGAAAATGCAGGGAAGATCTTCTCTCCATCTCTCTCTGCTTAGTAGCCAATTCGCGTTGGTCAGAAACCGGACAATGTTGTGTGTCGAAGCACCAGAGAAGGAGAACCCTTTCAGAAAAATGAAAGGAAGACCAAGTGTGGAATTTTGGAGTGCAAGGTTTGACATGAATCTCTTGCTAGAATAGGACACTGTAAGTGGGAGGGAGGAATATGTGAGCAAGTGTGGGAGTGGTTTTCAGAGTCCACAGGACAGAGTTTTAAGGCGTTCCTGTATCTCAGATGCTTGGTCCAATGTCTGACAAGCTAGCAACTGGAAATGCAAGTTGTAGACTCTTCCCAGGTCAATGAAAGCTAGCAGGGGGGGAAAGGGATGGCTAGGAGTTGTATATCTACCAGTACTCAAAGCCAGGAAGGGATAGAACAGGCAGCTTGCTGGAAGAACTGCCCTGGATGTGCTTGGGGTGTTTTTTGCATCCTCAGAAGCAGATGGTGGCCATACTAAAACCAAGAAAGTGCGGGGGGGGAGATGGCATTAATCAATGTAATATCTTTAATTTCTGTCGGCATAACTTGAAGCTTCTGAGTTCGGCCTCTTTACCCATTTGCATGAGAAAATAACTCTGTAAGATATGAAGCAAACCCAGTCCATGTCCCCAAATATTTAATATGATGGTAGGGAGATCCGTTTTAACAAAATGCTGTATGGTGTATACCTGATTCCCACACAAACTTGACCTTGCCTGGCTTATCTTGGCCACTGTCCAGGCCAGTTCACAAGGTATTATTTGTATGGAGGCCCAGGTAAAACACCAAAGTACAAGGGACAGGCCACTGTTCCCCTGCCACCAGTACCCGCAGAAACAGGGGCCTAATTAAGAGTTTGTACTCTTGGGGCATTCAGTCTCTACTCAGAGAGAAGCGAGGGCAGGGCTTTTTTCCCAGCCGGAACTCACTGAAACTCCGTTCCAGCACCTCTCAGGTGGGTGCCATTCTCATTATAAGAGAGCAAGGGAGGTGAGTTCTGGCACCTCTTTGTCTAGAAAAACAGCACTGAGTAAGGTTGAATCGACTAGGCCCACGACCTCCTGTGGTGCATCATTGCTGCACATTTTAGAGCCATTCGTGAGTTTGGGGGTGAAGTTCTGAAGTGGGGAGGATCCCCATGTGATTTAGAGCCCTATGTATTTGCACATGAGGAGACTGAGCGGCTGAATAAGGCTTGTAGCATGGAGAAAAGCATGTCTGCCATTTGAAATCAATGCATCACGCATATGTTTTGGCCAGTTATCATGAGGCTCAAAAAGCAGCTGAGATGCCAGTTCCTTACTCCCTGCTGGTTGGAGAAGATACACACACAAAAATACATATATACTGTATATATGAGAATGCTCCTGGTCCTGTGAGTCAGGTGATCCCAAAGAGCCAATCCCCTGTCACTGCCTGTTATCGTAACAGTTTGGTGCACTCTTGTCTTATTGTAGATGGAGTCTAGATATCATTGGACTACAAACTCCCACCATTCCCAGCCACCTTAGCCAACTGTAAGAGATGATGGGTGTTGGAGACCAACATCATCTTGAGATGCAATGTTGAAGAACACAGGCCTGATCTCAGCTGTCTGTTGCAGGAAGTTATCCTTTCAGCAGGCGATGGTGGTTGAGGTGGGGCTCCAAGTGCAAGAGGGTGGATAGGTTCAAGGAAGAGTAGATCTGAAATACTGGTTAACATTGTCTGAAGAATACGAAGTCTGAAGAATGCAAACCTGTCATTCAAGAGGGAGACAGATGGAGCACAAGGGTGGTTTGTAATGTGCGGTTTCCACATCCAGATATGTACTTAGGCCCAAGGTCAAATAAGTTTGGGAGGCCTCAGCCTCCGTGTAGTCCTGCTGACCTTATGCAGCCAAGTTTGAGTGTTGAGACCTAGCAAAATCGGGCCTGGGGAGGTAGGGTTGATCACTGGGACATACTTCTCGAAGTTGCTGTGCCGTGAAATGCAGATCGCCAGTTTCTGACTCTTTTGAGCCTCCTGTGTGTTTTACAGCTGCTTGACTGTCTGCGAGAAGCACTGTAGTGATGATAGCAGAAGCTCCCTGGCCTGGCCTGGCTTGCTCTGCAGCAACCGAAGGTGGAAAAGCTCTCTTGGTGCCCTTTCACTAAGAGCCCTCCTGGAAAGGCTTAGTACAGGCAGGAAGTATGGATTAGGGTAGTGATAGGCTTACCTTTGAAAACGGGTGCTGGGCACCATGAGAATGTAGAAGATAGGCTCTTCCCATTCCTTCATCCTGACACAGGTTTTCATCGTTTAAGAGGTGTGAAATGGTGGAGGGAGGCAGCCTCTTTGCAAGAAGCATGAGAAGAGAGCGCACTAGAGGAAGGGATCCAGTGGCTCTGTTCTGCATGACAGCCCCTATGCTCTAGAAAGGTTCCAAGTCCTATCTTACAGCTTAGGAAGTGAAACCAGGAGCTAGAATTCAGAACAGCTTAGGAAGCAATACCGGGAGCTAGAACACAGAACAAGAGTTGGGAGCAAGGCATTTGGAGGAGCTCTTGATGAGGCCTCTGTCATTTTCACGGTCACACACAACCCAGCTGGAAACCACATCAGTGAAATTTTCACGTTACCCTTTGTCAGATACCTTGTCATTGTTTGCTATTTAGACCGGCAGCTCTCTTGCTTCTCCAGGAGGGTGTTCAAATTTCACATCCAGTAAATGAACCTGCCAGCAAGATCCTGAAATACACAGGGCTGTACATCTCAAGCAGTAAGAAAACTTTGTTCTGTTCTTTCGGAAATATTTTTATTTCATTTTATTTTTGAAGTTAAAAGTCACTTTACAACTGCTTGTGCTGAGGAATAAATTTCTGATACGCACTTTAACCGTTGCCTTCATTTGCCTCTTTCATTTTCAGTTGCTTTCACAGTGTGATCCCAAAACATCTTCACACTTGAACCAGTGCTTTTACATTCAGGCAAAGTGACTGCATTGCGCTAAGCTGCCGTTCTAAGATAATGAGAGAAGGCGGCATTTAAGTAGCATTGATTCTGCTCATGTAATAAGCCGCTTTATCAGGTATAGGGAACCGCTGGTCAGGGATGATGAGCATTTTAGTCCACCAATGACTGGACAGCCACAGTTTCAGTATATCCTTGTGATGCAAAATCTTCAAGGCAAGTGAATGAAACATAGTGTATCCTGAGATGGGGAGGGAACTCTAATGAAGGACTTCAACCTCTCACCTGTTGGATTCTGAGAAATGTATTGCTCCCCCTCCTCACACACATAATGTACACATCTTGACTGCCTTATATTTCCCACACTCCTGCAATCCAGCCCTTTCTCCTGGTACATATCCTGTTAGTGGCAAACAGATTCAGTGGGAAACAAATACACAGAAAACACTGGAGAGTCAGAACCAAACCTGAAACTCCCTAACAGCCAAGAAAAAAATCAGGATTCCATACTCTACATCCTTGCTCTCATCTGTGAAAGTTGTGGGATTCTCCAGCACCATTTGCCCCTCCCCCCTTGAAAAAGTGGCTCTCTGTTCCTCTAAACCCATTAAGACGCTTCTATCTTCTTCCCTCACAATCAGAGGAAATGATGGATGCCTCTCAAATCTCCAAATCTCCCCCTGGAGAGTTCTCAGTGGTCTATGCCCTTTTGAGGCTGCCCTTTGTGGTTTCAGCGTGAGTTTTAAGGCAGGGAATGAGGAAAAGCTCTTACAGTCACCTCCATTGTGCTCCTAAACAAGGTCCCTTCTGCAAGTTGTTTACAGTATAGCTGGTTCTTAAAAACCAGTGCAAATATGTGCCTTTTCTGCTATCATGTATTAGGCCCACTGTGCATCTTGCAAATGTCTTCACTGAAAGGTCAAATCCACACAATTCATGGCTTTCCCCAAAGAATCCTGGGAATTGTAGTTTACCCCCACAAAGCTATAATTCCCAGCACCCTCAACAAACTAAAGTCCCCATGATTCTTTGGGAGAAATCATGTGCTTTGAATGTATGGTGTGGATGTGACCAGATTCTAATTCCTTCCTCCTTTACAAAGAGGATATAAGGCAGGCACACATGCACACAGGGCCACTAGATGGTGGTCTTGTGCTTCCATAGCCTAGCAGGGTTCTGCATTCACCTGCTGTAGTGATAAGTTGGGAGGATTTAAAATCTTATGGCAGACTTACAAATCCTCTCCACTTAATCTTTTGCCCTTTGGACTTCACAGAGAATCACATCTGGCAATTACTCTGTGCCACATATTTGCAGGGTTGCAAACCGATCGCACATTCTTGACTCTGCAAACGGATGGCTTCCAAAAAAATCTATTTTGCTCCACCTGCGCTGTTAGGATCACAGGCCGCGTCACAATTCTTCCACTTCGCCCAGCAGGCAGCTGTGGTCTAATGATGCTAACCTTTTGTTGCTTGTGCAGGTTACAACTAGTAAGGGCTTGCTGTTTGCTGCTGCCTTAGGCTCTCTGCAAGGGTGAGATGCGTCACACACCACTGAACTACAAGAAAAACAAACGTCTGCGGAAAACAGAATTATAACAACTCAGCATGGAAGCAACATGTATGAGGTCTCATTCAGAGGTATGATTTTGCATTTAGTGGTAGGAAAATATGGTCACATCATCAACACCATATATTTAAAGCACATGGCTTCCCTCATAGAATCATGGGAACTGTAGTTTGCTCCCCACAGAGTCACAAATTCCTGCACCCTTCACAGACTTCAGTTCCCAGGATTATTTGGGGGGCGGGGGAGCCATGTGCTTTAGATGTGTGTTGTGCATGTGGCCACATAGCTGGGTTTGTAAAAGCCTAGAGGTCATTGCATTCCCTACGTCAGACGCAACAAAATCATCAGTGGTTTAAAACCAAATACACAGAATAGAAATACAACAGAGCATAATTTTCTAAATCAGTTCATCCAACAACAGAACGAAAGGGTGAATCTAATCCTAGCCCACAATATTCAATCAATAATAATAATAATAATAATAATAATAATTTATTTATACCCCGCCCATCTGGCTGGGTTTCCCCAGCCACTCTGGGCGGCTTTCAACAAAACACTAAAATACAATAACCTATTAAACATTAAAAGCTTCCCTAAACAGGGCTGCCTTCAAATGTCTTCTAAAAGTTTGGTATTTATTTTTCTCTTTGACATCTGGTGGGAGGGTGTTCCACAGGGCGGGTGCCACTACCGAGAAGGCCCTCTGCCTGGTTCCCTGTAACTTGGCTTCTCACAGCGAGGGAACTGCCAGAAGGCCCTCGGAGCTGGACCTCAGTGTCCGGGCAGAACAATGGAGGTGGAGACGCTCCTTCAGGTATACGGAAACAAAGAAGATGAACAGAAAGAAAAAAGGGGGGGTGTCAATTACTTAGGTTAAAATATGAATAAAGGTAAAGGACCCTTGGATGGTTAAGTCCAGTCAAAGGCGACTGGGCTTGCGGCGCTCATCTCCCTTTCAGGCCGAGGGAGCTGGCATTTGTCCACAGACAGCTTTCTGGGTCATGTGGCCAGGATGGAAACGCCGCTTACCTTTTAGAATATGAATAATATGAGAAGACAAGTGTAATCACAAAGAGGAAGAGGAGGGTTTGTTGTGTGCTTTTGAAGCAAAGCACATGAACCAAAGCTCCGCATTCTGTTTTAAAGACAAAAATCAAAAGTACTTCTCATAAGTACTTCATAAGAGAGCACCTTCCGAAAATGGGATGAAAGGGAAGCAAGCCTCCAAGCAGAGAACCAGCTCCAGAAAAGAGAGCATCTGCCTTACTTTGGCTTAGTGCACTCTAAATTCATCTTGTCCTTCTCACAATGTTCCAGTTTCTGCTTAAACAAACCACTTCGCTTTTCCATTGTGCTAAAGTTTAGCACCTGGCTGCAAACAACAGAAGAACTATTAGGACTCTGTTGTGAAATTTAAGGACTTGTTGAGGCAGCTTACAATGATTGGATTGGGATAAATGACATACACTACAAAACACACATTTAAACCAGAAGCATTGGGTATTCAGGCAATTCTACTACAGGGATGCGGGTGGCGCTGTGGTCTATACCACCAAGCCTAGGGCTTGCCGATCAGAAGGTCGGCGGTTTGAATCCCCGTGACGGGGTGAGCTCCCATTGCTTGGTCCCTGCTCCTGCCAACCTAGCAGTTCAAAAGCATGTCAAAGTGCAAGCAGATAAATAGGTACCGCTCCGACGGGAAGGTAAACAGTGTTTCCGTGCGCTGCTCTGGTTCGCCAGAAGCGGCTTAATCATGCTGGCCACATGACCCGGAAGCTGTATGCTGGCTTCCTCGGCCAATAAAGCGAGATGAGCCCAAAACCCCAGAGTCGGCCACGACTGGACCTAACGGTCAGGGGTCCCTTTACCTTTACCTTACTACAGGGTAACAAAGGCCTACTAAGTGACCTCAAGCCACCTTTCAGCTTAATCTACCTCACAGGGTTGTTGTGAATGAAATGTGGAGTGGGGATCATATACAGTACATTGGGCCCCTTGGAGGAAAGCCTGAATATAAATATAGCAAATGAAATAAAACTCACCTTGTAGTCACATTTCTTCCAGCTGTGTTCAGTGCATGACTGCCATAGGCTTGGGTCTTGCTGCATATGCCCAGGAACATGCTTTAACAGCAAGAAGACCCAAACACCTGACCTGGTTTTTAAACACGTTGAGCCTTGTAGCCTTACGAGCTGACCACATGACAACTGGCAACAGCAATGAAATGGACAAGATGCACCAGCAACCGCAGCTTGTTATCCGTGACCTTAATTCAATCTTGCAAGAATGTAAGATGACACAAATGTCTAGGGCTGGGAGTGTCGATAGCTATATGTGTGTACACATGGGGCAGAGCCAAGAATTTTGCCTGCTATACCTTTCAGTAGAGCTGCACATGCCATTGGCTTTGAATATTTAGGGAAGTTCTGTCTTCTGAAGCTCTCTCTCTCTCACACACACACAACTCTAAGTGTTGTGGACGTACAAGAGGAGTGACACACACTGCCAACAACGTGTGTTCCTTTGACTTTTGTATATATAGACAAGGAGGGTCAAAATAGCTTCTGCAGGACTGGAGAGTACATAGATTTGTATGCAGAGCAACAGAGTTGCCATATCAACTTTCATAATGAGGGGCACCGCAAGCCAAACTCAGAAAATGATGTTAGGGACCTGAATGTGACACTTCTGCAATGTGTGGTGATACAAACCAGGACAGGCTCCCACAGAGAAACTGGGGTGAGAAACATGAGTCTCATGCTCTCCGCTGCATTATATCAAATTAGAACTTGGTAGGAATGACACAGGTGGCACTGTGGTCTAAACCACAGAGCCTAGGGCTTGCTGATCAGAAGGTTGGTGGTTCGAATCCCCGTAACGGGGTGAGCTCCTGTTGCTCGGTCCCAGCTCCTGCCAACCTAGCAGTTCAAAAGCATGTCAAGTGCAAGTAGATAAATAGGTACCACTCTTTTGGGAAGGTAAACAGCGTTTCCATGCGCTGCTCTGGTTCATCAGAAGCGGCTTAGTCATGCTGACCACATGACCCGGAAGCTGTCTGCAGACAAACGCCGGCTCCCTTGGCCTATAGAGCGAGAGGAGCACCGCAACCCCAGAGTTGGCCGCGACTGGACCTAACAGTCAGGGGTACCTCTACCTTTGGGAATGACAAGAGACCCTTTTGCCAAAACAGTGCCCCTCACTGCTCAGCAGGGATTTGCTTATTCCTGGACCCTAATTTCCGAGCACCAAAGAATCTCAGGTTTCCCCAATTCTTTCTTCGGTTTTGTCAGAGCATCCTTACAATGCTACCACTCTAAGGAAATGAAACAAAACATCAAACATCCTTTCTTTCT